GTAATACTTTCTGTACTTCTAAATCAATCAGTTTGTCTATTGATTTTACTGTTTACTAACTGATTTACTAATTTATTCATTCAATTTTTGATTGCCATTATATAGTGAACAAGAAGCCTGCGACATAGTAAGAAGAGCAGCATCAAAAACTGAATGAATAAATTAGTAAATTAGTTAGTAAACAGTAAAATCAATAGACAAACTGATTGATTTAGAAGTACAGAAAGTATTACCAGTAGAAAAACGCTTTGGACTTCAGTGAAATATAACACACAAATTAGAAAAAACAAGATTTAGCATATAAAACTTGTTTAATTTTTTTCGAAACGTTTAGTTTCACATATATAGATAGTTATCGCTTTGTAAACTTTTACATAGCGTTCAAAGTTGGTAGAATATGAAGGAGAAGATAGAAGAAGGATATTCATATCTATACTCAGCTCAGGATCGCACTCATGTAATGTATCAAATAATTTTGTACGATCAGTAGTGTAGTATGGACAATTCTGTACGTTTCATTATCCGTAGACGACTTTTTTTGTGTTATCAAAGTTAACTAATTTCTCCCGACATCTATAACTAAACTACAGAAAAAGTTTAGTTCGCTTTTTCTCGCTGAATCAGTAGATATTTCAGGCCATCTCTTTGAATATTTTCTGTTTCACGGTTAAAAGAAAATTTCTATTTTTCTCCCTTATGTTTGGCTTATTCACGGAATATCCATGGCTGTTGGTCATGCTTACTGTTTCTCACATTACGCGTAAGCCTTTGTGTCAAAGTGTACGTTACGCTAACTTAACTGAAAATACGCTTTGTGCTTACTTTCAACGCGCACACAGTACGGGAAGATAAATACTCTCTGAGTTTTGTAAGGATTTAAAGAAAAATAATATAATGGATAGCCATTTTGAATGGCTATCCATTATTCTATATACACTCGTGATGAATGGTTTGATAGATAATGTTGTTCTTTCGATTTTCACATCGAGAAACGAAATAGAATTGTGTATTTCTTCTTCAAATGTGAACTGTATATCAATGTCATAACTGTTTAGATTGACTGTACCGGGTTCGAGATCTTGAGTGATACTCGATCCTGTTACGGTGACTAAAACAGTGTGAGTCAGAATATGTTTAGCTTTGTAAAACAAACCCATCGGTCCAAATCCATCCGCCAGTGCCATCCTCCTGCGAAAGCAAAAAATGTTTTTGTCCAAAACCGATACGTTCAATAGAAACTACCGAACTGCCGGTGAGGTAAAGTGTGTTATCACTGTTCCATCACCCAGAAATATTGTCTTTTGCCTTATTGTTTATAGCTGTAATAAACATTTTGAATAGTCGATATGAATACGAAGTTAGATAAGATTTTCTAATTTTTTATTAACTAATACTTTTTCTTCGTAATACCTTTATTTATTCCAAACGTTTCGATTGCTAGTTCAAACTTCCTCGGTGGATACAAACATTAATCAAAGTTAACTAATTTCTCCCGACATGTATAACTGAACTACAGAAAAAGTTTAGTTCGCTTTTTCTCGCTGAATCAGTAGATATTTCAGGCCATCTCTTTGAATATTTTCTGTTTCACGGTTAAAAGAAAATTTCTATTTTTCTCCCTTATGATTGGCTTATTCACGAAATATCCATGGCTGTTGATCATGCTTATCATCAAGTCGCCAGTCATAAAAAAAGCGTTCAGAAAATGACTTTATCGGAATTGCTGGAGATTCAAAAACGTAAACCAAATAAGATGTGTAAGCTGTTTTTGATAATAGAAAACGCTAAATGTTATACTTAAATCTTTTCTTCGTTTTAAAACTGAGTCGTTCCAAAGTGTAAATACCATAGCACTTATGCACTTTTGTTTTTTTGTGGCGATATAGGGGTGGTAGCATAGCAACAGTCGGAATAATGGATACTAAGTCCAAATTGCGCGTACTATTTCCCTCTATTGAAATAAGCTTAATTCAAATATCTTAATGAGAAACGGTTCAATCTGCAAAAGTATCCGCCTTTTCCACGCCACTTACGTTGTATTGATGAATAAAAACAATTTTCTTATGTTTTTTTTCCATTGTCGTAGTAAATTAAATTAAAAGAGTTTGGCTTCGAGATTCATACACAAAAAGTAAATAAATCTTCATATTTATCCGTACGAGTAGTGTGTGCTAGGATAAACAACTTGCATAAAATTCCACACTATGATAGATACGTCTAGTCACTGAATGTCTGAAATACGGTAGTTTATAAATATTTATAACTCTCGACTTTTTCCGGTCAATTTTCCAGCGAAAAACCGTTTATAAACCCATTTATAAGTGAAAATTTTATAAATAAATGTTAATAAATCGATCTATAACTATTTCGGGCATTGTCCAAACCATTTCGGACTCTTCAGTGCTTCTAGTTCATATCTGCGAAAGACTCGTTCGAAATTTGAACAATATAATATGTCATCGAGAAAAACCGACAGTCTAATGTGTTAATTTTTTGTTCTTGACTTCTTTTAAAACAAAAGCATATCATGAGAATGTTGTTTGAAGTGTATTCTTATAGAAGAAAGCACAAGAAAGATCGACTGAAATTTGATTTCTCAAACTATTATCCTCATTTTTACCAATAGTTTATACAAAAATGTTGTATTCTGGAAGAAGGCATAACATTGTAAGCGTTGACAAAAACCTTCCCTGGTCGGACAAACTTTCTTAATAATAAATAAAACGTATTAACGCATACAATCCTGATACTATAATTTGATAGATCTGTGAAAACCGCAAGTCTCTATCTTTTATTTCTTTTGAGTTATTCAAAAAATAACTACCGGTCTTGTACTTTGGAACGGATAGTAGTAAGCGAAATTGTGCGGCAACTGTATAAGCAAATTAACCAATACAAGACTAATCTCAAGCGCCTTTTCCATTTCTTTTTGAAAACAATTGGAACAAAGTCAAACACTGGCAAGAACAACTCTATTTGATTGGAATCTCTCTTCAAAACTTTTAGTCGTTAACGAAAAAGCGTATCTTCACTTACCAAAATATGAGTACACAAATACTAAATACACCAACCATGAATAGTAATAAACATTTTGGGAATTGTACATTTTCAATGATAACATGTAAAGGATTGATAACTATTGCTATAACACTATATAATGATAACACAATAGGTAGACGATGCGTAGGATATTGCATTCTAAACGAGAAAGCAAACAAAAATCTTTTTTTTACAACATCTCTTTTTGTTAAAACTAAAGCACTGTTTATGACGAAACGATACTTTTGTTAACAAGCAAAACATTCAGTGTTTCGAATGCTACAAAGTATCGACTCTCACAAAGAAGCATAAGTTGACCTCTTCAACCTGTTATAAACGCCATCCCTTTTTTAGCCGTTCTTTCGGACATAACGAACACAAGTAATAGATCACCTTTAACAACACAATCAAATATAACATATTTTGAACCGTTAGATAATTTTATGTCAACGTTGTTTAATGAGCATATGTTTGTTTATGCATTGTGCCATGTAAATAAATTTAATAATGAACCGTCAAAGTATCCCTTCTTATCTGGATTTATGTTTTTATATCTAATGCATCCACAACGACCTCCCTCAATATTTTTTTATGGAACCCAATCGATATGCCGGCCACAGCTTCGTCGGCCCCATTAGCCATTTTAAGTCTGACGAAAAGCGAATTTATCGAGAGTGGTTATCAAAAGACAGCTGTTGTTGTTGTGGATGAAAATATTTATGCTTCGTTGTTGAAAGAAAAAGAGCGAGATTGTTCAAGCAATTCACCACAACAATTTAAAGATATATTGTTGTGGCCTGGCGATTGGCATTTTGTAAAAAATTTATTTGGAATAATTGGAAAGTTCATTAGTGGATCAGGTATGCACGAACTCAAAAATGTATTGTAAAAGGTTGCGTGCAGACCCATCCACCAAAACGTTCTTTGGTTCATGTAGGGTTAGAATATATTTTACAAGTGCTATATGATTCATCTGTTGTAAATGGTATTCTGGGAGTATACAACGTCGATAGAACATTTCGCGCGTATACTTTACTGTATACTGCGTTGTTTGTATTACAACTAGAAGTGTTTATCAATGAACATCCAGAAAACAATGTCGAACTGCAATTAATTATAAATGAAATGAAAAGTTCATTGACTAATATACACAAGCCAAATGACGATAATCATAAACAAAAGTTATACGAAATTTCGCGAAATGCATGTGAAATATTGAAATTAATGAGTGTATTGAATGATTATGATAATTGGAGAAAAATAAAAGCGGAAAAGTGTATAATGTTTAAGTATTATGATTATTTACTAAATAATTTATTACAACCGTTGTTTGCATTGTATATTGCGACACGAACAAATAATTTTGTCGTGCGCAATAAACAATGGCGTTATTTTCTTCCGTTCTTCTTTGCGTTTAATCATACAAATTATGCTCGAATGGAGTCGCATCACATTTATGAATTGAGCCAAATGAATACAAATGACTTACAAGAGTTGAGCAATAACTGGACAGTATCCATGAAAGGTCGTACATTCTCCAGTATTGCGTGTGATTATGCTATAGAAACAACCCAGAATAAAGACTTTAAAGGTCCGTCAGGATTATCCGGACATATGGATGCAGATCTTCGTACAGCATGGTCGTTATCATCAACTTGGTGCGCAGAAGTATTGAATATTGTAGATGAATTATCAAATGTGAGTATTTCTTTACGATTAATGAATGGTGAGCATATTTCTTAATATTCTATAGGTTTCTTTAGACTAAACAAACAAACGATCATCACATACAAGCTACACCATCCAGAACACCAACAGATAATAATGACTTGATGAAACTGATCACCGTTTTTAAAACAGATAATCCATTTCAGTGCCAAACAAAAGACTTTTACAAAATTTTAAGCGGAATAAAATTACCAAATGATATTGTTTCTGAATTGTGTGGTGCATCAGCCAAATTTATTCCAACGGCGAATGCCTTTATAAAAGAACATTTGATCGAAAAAAGATCAACAGTATTTACAACAATACATAAAGGCAATGTACGTCTACTCACTTCGTCAGTATCGCCGGAAAAAACATTAACAGTTATAAATAATAATGATGAGAAATTATTTAAATCACCGATGTACTATTCAGCATTCCGTTTAAATATCAAATTAGAAATATTATCCACATATGAATTTACTACGCCACCTCCTTCCTTCATCAACAAAAATGAACCAACATTTCAACAAAAGTCGAGTCTAATTCCGTTTATATCAGATTATTTTCCACAAACTATTACAAATTCGTTTAGTCAGCAGCCATCAGTTATCATTGTAGATGGAGATCAATTACTGAGTAAGTAATGTAAGATTCACGTCAAGCAAACTTCGAGTGAAATTTGTTTTTGACTTTATTACATATATTCGGATTCGTCGTTTGACGGTGATCCCGAATATCACCTTCCCAGCCCTTAAAACCCCTTTCGTCATGGAGAAAATCTCAAAACCCCTAAAACTTTTCATTTTCGAAAAAAGTTTCATAGTTTTTTCCCTTCATGGTTTTAGACTCGACCTCCCTATATTTGGACTCCTTGTTCAAAACTGAGTCTAGCCAGGGTATTTTTAAGCCTTTACAGCAAAAAAGTCAAAGTTTGTCAGAGTCCCAAACGTTTGAAGGTCCATCCTCGAGGACCTCTGTTTACAAACCCTACTCGTTTTTTGTGTGAAGGACTAGACCTTTGATTCACTCATGGTTAGATCGGTCATCAGACGAGCTTTAAAAGTATGAAGAGCTTTTTTTTAAATTCGTTTTTCGCACTGAGAAAAGTCCACTTTACTGGAAAAAAGCGAAATTCTGACCGTAATTCGCAACTTTGTCCATCAGAACTCAACTTTCACGCAATGAAAATATCATATTCGGAATCAGGGTAAAAAATCGAGTCGGATGATATATATCTCAAATTTTTTCGTTGAAAATCTTAGTAATTCTTCGACGCGAAAATTCAAAACAAATCAAAGTGGTCGAATAAGATAAAAAAAGTACATCATTCGACTCCATTTCCGATTTTGATTCATTTGATTTGGTTTGTAACTGCTTTTTTCTCATCGACAGGGTATTGAACTTAGTATAGCGTTATAGAATTCTATTCATTCACATTTTTCAATCTTTCCCATATGATTTTATTCTTCACAATTATTAATTG